GCAACAGCACCGGTGAGTTCTCGTCTTTCCGTAGGAGAACGTCGCCTTCGTCCTCTTCGTGAATACCAATTTCTCTTCTTCTTACGATGTTCTTAACTTACAAACTTCTTAGCCAAGTTTTCATAAACTAAGAAGCTCTTCGTGAATCTGGCCTCAGAATCACAAATCTACGTCAGCCCCCATCTTGTTTTATTTGTAAAAATCTACTTGAGATCAGGTGCGCCCTTCTGTAGTCAAAAACAAGATAAAAAATGTGCTCGCAAAAAGTTGACGCAGAAAGAGGGTGACTGAGACGCAGATAACATGGCTGGTATTCAGAAATAAGGTAGGCCAACCGTAGAAGTTGCAGTACAACAAAGTAGCTTTTAAAACAATGTCAAATTAGGTGAAAAGAAGCAGAAAAAAAGACATCCTGTTTCCTAAGAGAAAATAGGAGTAAGCAACGAACGAGGATGCTTGTGGAAATAACACCTTCACATATTATCACATCTTTCAGAATATTTTAGGGTAGACGGAACGTTTTCTTCTATTGTGACATTATGAAATTCGTCGTAGTCACTACACAGTAAATATTTTAACACCCAAAACCGTGTTAAAAGGGTGTTTGTTTTAACCAACACCCTTCCTACACCCTTCCTACGCCCTTTTTACACGATTTTGAGTATTGGTGGGTGTAACAGGGGTGTACGAGAAGGCTTACACCCTACATACACCCCTCTTACACCCCTGTCACACCCACAATTTAAAATATGCTCCGGAAATCGTGTTAGAAGGGTGTGGGCACTCGTCGCAACACCCCCCGTTCATAACGTGTAGAAAGGGTGTGATGGACTTATATGATTTCAAGGAGTCGGAGTTAATCACGTCGAAGAAACCCTTGTCTACGAGAGGAGCCGGTAAGGACATCGTGACATCGATTGATCGTCATCGCGGTATAGCAGCATGTGCCCCAACACGAGGAGCTAGCTATGAAATGAGTCGGAAAAACAAATGTCGCCTGCATTAGCAAGCTTGAATTTTTATCTAATATGTGCTTTAAGCGGTGGATTTTATACTTTGTGCAATACCAAGACGCAGCTCAAATTGCTTGGAATTATGTAGCGATGCATCGGTCCGCGTCCCGTCAAAACTTCAGAACATCAACGAGAACGTGCAAGAATGCGCGTCACATTAATCTTACACAAATCCGCTTTCCCCTCTGTTCGGTCAATATCATTGTCATCGACGCCGTTTTTCTTCACACCGGAGGAGAGGTCATTTATTTCTACCGGTTTTTGCCCGAAAACCCGGCGCAAATGACGATAAGCAGTGCTCTATGCTTCCGTCCCCGGTCATGTGGTTAACGGACGTCCACACACTTTTCATTCACACGGTGTGGGACGGGCGTAATGTTGATACTGTCGATTACACCCATGATTTTATAACCGTTCATGTTTATTGCTTTGATGAAACGGTTGCTGATGTACGGCGGTACCAACATCGAATATAATTAATCGTCACACAAAGGCGCGTATGATTAGGAAGTGCTAGAGAATGTTTTTTGCAACTCCGATCGAACTCTTCGTCCGAGAGGAGCTGAAAATTACGTGTTGCGCGTGCATCAGTTTTATCAGTTCAACTTCGATTTAAAAAAATCACCTCCGTTCGCAAAAGGTGACCGAAGACGTGTAAATATACAGCCCAGGCAACACACCGTATGTCGCTGATATTGGATCTATTCGAAAAGATTGTGCCCACACCATTTTGGTTTAGCCAATATTTAACGAATGGTATGAGTCGCGCCAACGATATCCTGACATAACGTACGCGACGCCGTTTTTAGTTGGGTGTTGAGAGTATCCTGCGTGAATCGGCTATGCCGGAGAGGTATTTCTATTTCTTTGCCGCCTAAAATACGACGTTAAAAATAAAAAGATTAGCCAAAACGGAATCTGCTTGCTTTTAGCCCGAGAAGTCTTTCTCGGGAAAAAAGCGAGCAAATTCCGCTTAGCTTAATCTTTTTATTCATTTTCTTTTTAACTGCGCTGAAGCTTGGAACAAACAGTGGCGCCTTTTTTTGGGTAGCCCAAACTCACCTGACCAATAAATACGCTTCCAAACACATGAAGAAAAAAGAAAAGAGAAAGAAGGAATTCAAACGTATAAACAAGACGACGATCAACGAGTTCTACCCAGAAAGCATAAGCCACTCCCCGGCTCCACAGTTTTCGAAAGGGAACCGCCACTCGAACAACAACTTCAAGGTCCCACATACAAGGCGACCCTCCCTGCGCAGCCCAGGAGGCAGCAGAGGGGGATTAGCAGCTTTGTCCACCCCCCTTTGACCCCTTCATCTGATAAGCCTCCCCACTTTCTTTTGTGTCCGTGTGGCTATGAGCGAGTGCTAAGGCCGCTTCTAGCGAATCAGAGGTGTGGAACGAAACACGTGACCGCTCTCCGTAGGACAGAAACGCTTGGACGAACATTTGTCACGCGACTCGCTCTGACGCGCTGATGGCTTACTGGGGTCATAGCCTTCGCCGTTGGCCAGTTTATGGTGAGTTGTAGGGACCACGTGAATCCGGTTTCCAAGAAGCGTCCGTCAGTGTTCTCTTTTTCGTGCAAGCAGGTCCTGACGAGTTCCATTTCGCGACCATGGTTTTTCGTCGTGAACGGCCGGAATACATCTATGCCAACTTTTTCATCTATTGGCCATTTATTTCGTCGGAGTCTATGGAATTATTGTGCTGTGTTTGTTGGACGAGTTTCGACAAAGAGCTGCTCATCGGCGGACGCGAGACTTCCGTTGAATGTGATCGACCGCCTTCATCCTCGATATTGTGTTTGCGGTGTTTCGTGCTGCCCGAATTGGATTGTGCATCTATCACGACAGAGAGCTGCTCATCGATGACCGCGAGGCTTCCGTTGAATGTGAGCGACCACCTTCATCCCTGACATTGTGTTTGCGAATTGTTCTGTGCTGCCCGATTTGGATTATGCATCTATCACGGATTACATGAGATCGCTCTCTTATTTGTAAGTACTTTGCAAGCATGCTTAAAAACATGAACTGCCGCTTGCGTCCCAAGTAACTTCCGGTCGTTCCGCCTTTCCAAGCCTGTTGAGTTTTGCTTACGTCACCAGTACTAGAAATAATAAATGTAACAAGCAGGGTTCTCCCCAGGAATTTCTGAGAGGTGGACATTGCCGGGGGGGGGGAGGGAGGGTGTTAGAAAGTAACACCCCTTTTTAGGGTGTTAGACATTAATCACACCCCTTTTTAGGGCGTTCGAAATCACACCCATGCCTAGGGTGTTAGAAAAATCACACCTCTATTCTAGGGTGTGAGAATATCACACCCCTTTGTTACGGTGTCCGAAAATCACACCCCTTTCTTAAGGTGCTAAGACTTACACCCATTTCCTAGGGTGTTCTGTTACACGAATAAGGGTGCTCCCCATAGGACAAGCCATTTACACCAATAAGGGTGTTAAAGTTTTAAGTGTGTATAATCGAGCAGGACAGATAATTCTTGTCTGTCCACTTACCGCCACGAGCTTCTTGAAGAGGAACATAATCACTCGGTGTCCTCCTCTCCCCGTCTTCGATCGCAAAAAACAAACAAACACACACACATGCACAAAAAAAAAACGAACAAAGGAACTAAAAAAGCGGATTAGGTTGCCCCCTGCTTTCTTTCTTTTTAAAAAATGCTTTTTTGAATTGACATTGTTAGTGTCTAAAAAAGAGTTTAAAAAATTAGGGGCTTAATGTTGCAAAGAAAGGATTTGGGGAACTGAAGAGTGTCAAACCTCCCTTTCCGCTGGTCAATACACGTGACAGTGTGACTGCGCTCAACTTTACATATATAAAAACAATCTTTTCTTCTATGTTTTTTTCTTTTTTAGGGGGGGGAGGGGTTGTGAGAAAAATTTGAGGGATTAGAACGAATCTTGTACGTAAATATGTAAGGGAATTACTTAAAAAGTACTCTAGCAAATATCTAATTATCCCATTGACCATAAACTTTAAACATTAACCTACTTGTAGAGACGGAGAAAGAGCTATAATTTATTAGCATCGACCAATTCGTTTTGTTATATCGCTAAATAAGTTGAGATTCCAAATGTATATATATATATATATATATATATATATATCAGTCCAGTTTGGATATAAGGTGCCTGGAGAGAGTCTCCATCTGGTGTTTTTATCGCGCTCTAAACAGTGATCCCTTGATTTCCACCTGATGACGTCATACAAATGTCACGCTGTCGCCGGCCGCGATCTTGGCGGCGTCACATCCGACAGCGTCGCACGCTGGCTCTTGTTATGACATTTTTTGCCACGACGTCGGGATGACTTTTGATGTATGGCCGAGATTGGACGCGCGCCTAGATGCACCAGTCGAAGACGCATTCCGGGCACCCTAAAGTTCCAATTATAAAAATCGTCGGCTTGGTTAGCTTTCCAGCCCGCGCTCATTAAATGGGGGATTCAGTAGCTGCCAATACACACTGACTTCCAGGATATGACAAAAAAAACCTCTTTTATTAACTTTTTTTTTGCTTTAATTGTGACCTAATTTATCGCATGCATTGCAAGCCAGCGCTCTCTGGTGTTGTGCCAGATTGATCTAAGACAGCTTAAGCTTATCATTGTTTTCAACTTTTAAGCCCACAATTCTTTCATATTCGATCCGAGTCTCTTTTGTTTACAATCGTTTCCTCTTCTGAGCTTGATTTTATCCTTAGTTGGTGATGACGCAGGCTAGAGTTCCTACAATGAACTCCTCGCATCTCCAGGTTATTTTAATAAACAAGAGTAATATCATTACTAATTAACTCCGCTTTATCCGTCCAGCCTCAACTGAGCAAGCATAAGTTATAAACTTGGCATTTACGCTCAGTGAAGATCAAGACGCATTTTTCTAGAGAACCTACACGGTACATTTTAGTCGGAGACCTCAAGGAAAAAGACATATCAAAGGCTAAAACGAAACAAAAAATATATTTGCTTACGAGATTCAAAAACGAAGTGAAGTTCCCTCTGGTAGAAGTACCACAGGAAGCTGTTCTCGCTGACCAGGTCCGGAAATTCGGTGGCCACAAATTTTCGCCTGTACTCGCTCCGAAGCTGTTCATGATTCATGGTCCCCGTTTGCGTGTCTCGTGCAGTGGCGTCGGGATCCTACGCTTGTGTGTATTATATGAATGAGCGACGGTAGCAAATGCAAGTATAACTGGACGCTTTGTAACTTTTCTCGATATTATACGTGCGCTTTTTGGAAGTTATGAGAAAAAAAAAAGAGGGAGAGAAGAACGGGGGGGGGGGGTCAGGTGTTAGTGCTCAATTTTCAAAGCAGGTGAAAGGTTGCAGCAAGTGTTAAAAATATGGAAAGTTATTATTCTGCTACAACCTTCTCCAACAGCTGCTATGGGGGGGGAGCGTGCTGTTCTCCCTTTACCAAGTTACGGGGAAACAAAGTGCAGACCGACACGCGGCGCTGTTTTTCCTACCACCACGGCCGGAAGGCCGCGCATGCGCAGCAGCTATGTGGGCAAAAGCTGCCAGGTTCTCCATGTTTTCGACATTGCGCTCTATGGCGTGCGCTTGCTGACGTTGTAAAGACGTTTCTAGCTTTATTTGTGCGTCGTATTTTCTGCCTCCGTATGTCGTCCGTTATGCCCGACTATTTGAGCTTGCTACGTCAGCCTGAATGGTAGCCATATTGAAACAAACCGTGCGTGGACGGCGTTGCCTTCGACGATCCGTACTCCGTAAACAAGACCTGCCCCTACAAAAATATGTATGGACGTCCTATGTCCATACCTTTGCCGTTCTATTACCCCTTTGTCCATCCTATGGATTCCTGTAGACAGTTCTTAGACCGTCTATGTACAGAGCGCGACACTGTTAGCGCGAACAAGCGATCGCCGGTTTTTCCAGTTTTTCTCTTTGAAACCAAGGGATGTCGTCCAAGTTATTATCGCTACGGAAAGAGCTCATTTGGTTCTTTAATGTATGCAATAAAATTCCGTGCTCACTAATACTATTTAAAAGTAAAATGCGAAAATGCGCCGTTGTCGTGTTCGCGCTAACAGTGTCGCGATGTGTACCACTGGTTTGTCACAGAACGGCCACAGCAAAGCTATAGAGATCTCCGCGAAAGAAAAAGTTTTTCATTCCTTCCTATTTCCGTTATAGGGACCCGGTGAGCCTATGGACATCCTATTGCCTCTCTATGGCGTGAGCTATATATTGGTACATTAATAAAGTGATGCCGGGTAGACGTTTTCTTTAGGTGTAGCGAGGTGTCCGAGTTAAAGGGTTGTTAATTAACTCCCGGGTATCAATATGTTACATTGATGTTTCAAGGCATATCAAACCTCAGGGCATATTCATTGTGGAAATGGAAGTGTTTAGTATGTGCCGGAATAATATTTCTACTTTCTCAGTGGGAGGTACGCATATGTGGGTCTCTGCGGCCCCCGTAGATATTCGCAACTTTCACAACCCATATGGGGCGCACTGTGCCTATCAAAATGGCGGTCTTCTGGATTATCGTCGTAAAACAGCGGTATACTAGGCTGGGTTTGCGAACGACGCGCAAGTAATTCTAGTTATGCTATATACGCGCAGTATCAAAGCCTTATTTTATTTTTTTTTCACGTCAGGAAAGTGTAGGCAAGTCATTTTATTATGAGGCCAATCATCCAGGAGCTAGGGAGCGCGATTCTCACACCGCGGTACCACCATCGCTTAAAGTGGCTTCTCTATGGACCCCGCAGGGACTCCGTGCAGACCCTGTATGGCTTCTCTGCAGACCCCATAAGGAGCCCGTGTAGACCCTGTATGGCTTCCCTGTGGACCCCGTACGTACTCCCTATAGACCTTGTATGGCTTTTTTGCAGACCCCTAGGGACCCTACACTCTTTAATATGTCTTTTACAAAGCACGTTTTTGCGTAAAAACAAATGGCAAAAAAGCTCTTTTTGTAGAAACCATTATTGGAGATTAGTACAAAAAGACACGAGCGTGATGTTTGCATACACTTTTAGCTTATAGGGTTTTGCGGAGCAATTAATATTGTTTTTATACAGTCATGCCTCACCGGTGACTTCAGGTAGCGCGTCCCGACCTGGGTGCGTCCTAACTTCGGTGGCAATTCGCGGCGCGTCCGCCTGGGAGACGGGGGTTGGCATCCCTGAAATCCGTTTTTTACCGTATACACCAACTCATGTTTACCAACAAACCGGAGCGCCCCTATCGGACGCCACCGGCGCCGCGCATGCGCGTTGGACGGTGGGCAAGAAGCCCGCCGTCGCCCATAAACAAACCATTGCATTGCGTTGTTTTCGGCGTCGGTGGGAGTCCCCGTGCTCTTTTTCGCATTGGAATTGTTGATTTTACGTCCTCCTAACAATGCCTGACTACTTGGGCGGCTTCAGCAAAAATAACGAGGCAAAACTTTGTGCGAATAATGTGCCTTGCGGCAATTTATTTCACGTGGACGCCGCAGAATGGGCGCTAAAGCCTGACTCCCACGATGAGATTCTGCTCGCTATTTTCAGTCGCAACGTCGCTCGGGCTGCGAAAGAGTGCACCCTAGCTGAGATGGTGGACGTCGATACTGAAAACCACAAGTAGAATCGGGCGTTACAAATCGGTGATGGCCACTGGTAACAATCATCATCTTCTTTTATCTACTGTTTACACTTGGCCTACTTACCCCAACCAACCTCCAAAAGTGTTGTGAGGCCTGCGCTTAGTTCTTATCTCAATTACCGGGTCAACGTTTGGTTTACAAGCCGCTGTCGTTTGAACGCGCTGACGACAAAAAGCAGACAAGTTTGAAAGAGCCGACGACAGTTCGAACGCATGCGAAATGGAGTGCGGGCAAGAAGCACCGCGTTCCGCGTCCAGAAACCATTGGAATGTCATGTTATCGGCGTCTGCATGAGTCTGCATACTCTTTTTCGCCTTGGAATAGTCGATTATACGTCCTCAAAGCAATGTCTTACCACTTTAATTGCCTGAGCGGAACTTTTAAGGTACGTTACACCGCTAAACTTTGTGCAAATAATTTGACGTGCGGTGATTCATTCGCGTGAACGCCACAGAATGGACGCCAAAACCACGATGAGAATATTCTAGATAATTTCGGTCACGACGTAGCTCGTGCTGCAAAAGTGTAGAAGGTAGCGGCGATGATTGACGTCGATACTGAAATTCGGAACCGGAAACAGACCAAACGTAACAAGTCGGTGATGGCCACTGGTATCAATGATAAACATCTTGTATGTACTGTTTACACCGAGCCTACTTAAGTCGTTTGAGGCCTGCAATTACTTCTTATTGCAAACACCGGGTTAAAATTTGGTCTACGGGCCGCTTTTGTTTGAACGAGCAGACGACAAAAAGCAGACAAGTTCGAAAGAGCAGACGAAAGTTCGAACGATCAGGCGGTTGCGTGGATTTGAAGACTCACTGAATCCGCGGGTGGCCCTCACAACTTGGCGGTTTTCTCTCGTTCATGTTGGAACAAAACAAATACATATAGCGACCACAAAGTGTTGCCCGCAGAAGCAATCGTAGTTCGACAGCGTCTAGTTTACCCTTTTCACGGCTACCATCCACGTACTGGGACGAATGGAGCGGGCAGAAACACATGAAAACTGATCTTCAAACCTTTCCAGACTCTTTTGGTCCAGCCCCTGTCACAGCATTTTGACGAGAACGCAGGTTTTTTGTCTGGTTTCTCCGAAAAGAACACAATGATGCATGTCTCGCACGGCGACTTCTGCCCACCGCTCCAGATCGGAAGTGCGTCCGACGCGCCACCACTGCGGTGTGACGTAGGAGAGTTGAGTTTGTGTATATGTATCGGCGCCAGAATGGTCGATTAAAGCCAAAGCAGAACAGTCACATGCTGTCGAAAATCGATAGCCCCAAACAAACACACGCGGTCGTGCAGTTATCCGAGTGGCCGCTGCGGAGGAATGGTGGCGTTCCGATCGCAGTTAGTTTGGTTTTTGAGTGCAGATCGGTGCCACTTTTTCAGAGTAAGCTTTCTAGCAGTCTCCCAACTGACTTGTTCTAGAAACATTGGTCGGTGCGGACCCCGTAGCGGACCCCCGCAGACTGAGTGGTTTCTCTGCGGACGCTGTAGGGACTCCCTGTAGACCTTGTATAACTTTTCTGCAGACCCCATGAGGACCCTGTGTAGACCTTGTATGGCTTCCCTAAAGACTCCCTAGGGACTACTTGTAGACTTCGTATGGGTTTTCTGCAGGCACCCTATAGCCACCGTAAAGACACTGTGCAGACACCCTATGGAGCCCCTATGGACTCTATATGGTGTCTTACCATAGAGTGGGTATAGGATGACCACACATCATCTATAAAATAGGACGTCCATAGAACGTCCGTTGGCCAATATTCCGTAGGACAGCCATAGGACGACTACATGGAGGCGACATCGGCCGTGGTTTGCCTATAGATGCCTTTTGCTCTGCCTATGGACGTTGCTCTATAGAACGTCCTAGAAGTGTCCATACATATTTTTGTAAGGGTGGTACAGTTCCTACGCGAAGTAATTATGTTCAGTTTCTTCATGAACGTAATGTTTCTTGAAATATGACTTTACGCGTATCTGAACCATCGAAACAGTAAAACGAGTTAAGTCATAATTGAACAAAAGTAACGAAAAAAGTAACGTACGCTACTTTTTATCAGTAACGGTTCTGAATTCCTTTTATTTTGAGGCAACGTAGGTCGGTGACGCGTTCCTTTTATTTGCAAGTAACGAGTAACGTATCTAGTTACCTTTGTTTTTTTTCTGTTTTCGATCTTCCGCCTGATCGCGCGAGCGTAGCGATCCACCGGCGGGCTCTTGGCCGGTGCGTTGTGCTCGAAAAACTTGGGAGCAAACTCCTGGTGGTCTCGAACAGACGACGGTTTCCCTGCACATAAGCAAGCCTCAGGACGGACATTGAAATGGAAGCCATACTTACCTTCAAGAAAGTGTTTGCCGCACAAACGGTCGTTCGCGCGGGGCGACCATTATTTTCAGTCGACGGATGTTATCCGCCTTCTGCGCCCTTCAGAGTCAGCCGGGAACTTGTGGAAAGTCACCCCGCTAATTTTTC